CTTCTTCACCACGTCGCGTCCTTCGCGGTACGCATGCGTGTGTGTTGTTGTCGTATAGATTTTAGTTGGAAGGGGCCTGGCCTCCCTGTGCTGGAAGCATCAAGCTTCTAGCTTGCTGCTCTGCTACCTCGCTTCCTTCTCTCCCTCCCCTCCCAGTTCCCCCACCTCCCCGCAACCACATCTCTCACTCATTCCCTCCCTTCCCTTCCGCCACTACCCGTTATCAGGCCGGCAGCAGCACCCCGATCGCGCTCCAGCTAATCCACACCAAGCCCGCATGGACCGCCAGCGTACTCTGGTTCCTCTCGCACACGCCCCCTCTCCCCTCCCTCCACCTCTCCTTCACCCATCCCTCCGTCATCCCCCTCCTCCGCCGCCCCTTCTCCCTCCCCGCCTGCTCGCTCTTACTCTCCTCGCTCACCTCTCTCGAACTCTCCCTTCGAGGCAAGACCCACGACTATAAAGTCAACAACTGGCACGAGCCTCCACTCCCTCACTCTCGGGCGCGGCGCGTGGCGATTCGACAAGTCCTCCTGCGTCGCGGCTCCTTTGTCCCGCTCAATAACGAGCCTCACCCTCCGAGCCAACGACGCCAGGGGCCCGAACCTCAAAGCCCTGGCGGAATTCACGCCGCAACTACACGAGTTTACCTTTTATGAGCCGGAGAGTCTCGCATACGGGGTGGTATCCGGCCCTGTTTACCTTAAACTGGATTTCCCCCGCATCCGCCGCCTCACCTTCCGCTTCGTGCATGACGAGCTCAAGCTTCGGCTCTCTCTGCCACCCGCGTTCACGTCGTTCCACGCGTCCGCGAAAACCCTGATTCTGAACTGCAGCTCCGCCAGCCCGTTGGTTCTCGACCAGCTGTTCCTCTTCGGGAAGACGAGGCTGCATATCTCATCGTTCGCCGTTGGATCTGTCCGCGCGCTCTACCTGAACGGTCCGATCAGGTTCTACCCGACATGGCCGAACCCGTATATTCTTAAGAAGCGGCAGGGGTTTGGAATGTACTCCGAGATGCCGCCGCCGCCTTTTCCTTGGGCTGACTGGCTGCGCGCACTAGCGCCGACAACGGAGGTTCTTATAGCGAGGCACGATATCCGCCTCGACTCCTGCGGAGTGGCCGGGCCGCGCCTGCAGAGCCTCGCGATCGTCGTGGAGTGCGACTGCGCGAGGGCGAAAGCGGTGCCCGGCGAAGTTACCCTAGAAGACGCGGTGCGAACAGACGCATCCTACTCCGTGCGGGAGAAGCGGCGCGAGGAGTATTGGGGGAGGATGCGCGAGCAACGGCTGGAGGAGGACCGGCAGGACGAAGAACGCATGTCCGGCAAGTACACGACGCGCTTCCACACTGGCCCCTTCGGCAACCAAGTGGCCTCGGGATCGAAGATCGACAACGACACTGAGTACGATTACGAGCCGAACGAGGATGAGCGCTGGGAAAGCAGCTACGAAGAGTACGCAACCAAGTATTCCCTGGAACCTCCGCTCATCGAGGATCTGAAATTCGTCTTTTTTCCGACCAGCAGGCGCGCGGATGCGAACCTGCTGGGTGCGCTGCAAGCGGCGTATCCTAGCGTGGAAATGTACTGTGCTGAGGGGAGCTCTTGGTATTGAAAGAAGAACGGGGAGCGAGTGCCGGGAGGGGGGTCCGTCGAGCATGTGTGAAAACCACGGGCTGCGAAGAAGAAGAGAAGTGGCGTGGCTGTAACGAGGAGTTACAAAGGGGGGGTGAAGACCGTGCGGGACAAGGCGCACAGCGTAAATCGGAGGTTGATTGGCGAGGGGTACAGTATTGATGCGGAGGAGGCGTATGTGTTGCGGAACAAGGATCGGTACATGCGCTTGGATAACTCCGATGATGACTCTAGCGAGGGGAGGAGGACTATGTTGAGGATGAGTGGTGGTAGTGGGCGGTTGGAGGAGCAGCAGGAGGAGGAGGATGGGCGGGGAAGGGAGAGGGTTTTGGGGAATGTGGGGGCTTGGGGGAGCGACGAGGGGGTGACAGAGGCCGAGGATGATGGCGAAATGGGATGTAAGGGGGGTGGGGGGGGGGTGCTACAAGCAAACGAGAGAAGACGATGGGAATGGGGACAGGGAGATACAGGACGGAGGGTGAGGTGCTGACGGTCAGGCGAAGACTTTGGGGGGGGTTTCTGAAGAGGGGCAGGGGGGGGGAAGCGTGGCGCGGCCAACGGGGACTTCAAGTCTCGTCCATGCAGCCTCTGCCTGTCCATGCACGCTCTGAACATGGGCATGAGGCCATGAGGGTACAAAGGCACATGTGGAGGTGTGTCACTGGAACGGGCGGATGGGAGGGGGACAAGACGGACACTCACCACCATGTAGGTTGTCAGGTAACAGTTCAAGAGGTACAGGGGACATCCTGCATTTGGAGCAGCAACGGGGAACCAGAACGGCAGGAACTGGGAGCAGGGAAACCGGAAACAGGGTTGGGAACGAGGATTGGGGTATTGGGGACAGGGAATTGGGATAGAGACCAGGGGGGAGGGAGCGGTGGAGATGGGGTGAAATAGAGCAGTGCAGAGGAGAGTAGCATGGAGCAGAAGCCATGTGCAATAGCTGAGAGGAGAGTGAGAGTGGCAACTAACACGTCATGAAGTGGATCCTTCTCTCGCCCCCCCAAGGCAAAGGTTACGACGCCCCGTTTCCTGGCATGGCGCCACGGGATTTGCGCTGGAGATCATCTGCAGTTCTGACATTGAGAATGGAGTGCTGGGAAGGCCGGCTGGTGTGCGATTAGGTGAACGACGCAACTGCCGTGGTGAGAACAAGGGGTTGAGGTAGAGATAGAGATTTAAGTGCTAATGGGTGTTCATACACGTTCGTTGCTTTTCTTTGTAGGTCCTTGTGCAGTGCAGGCCTTAGTGTTGAATATATGGATTGGCATTCAGAGGAGGCCCCGTATATACGCCATTCATGAGTCATGTCCACCAAAGAGACTCTATACCTACGGCATATTTGCAATTTTTTCTGCCGATAATGCAAATGCATCGATATCTTGAATCTGCAAATGGACCCATTAGGAGCATGGTTTGTTGTACATGTAAAGGTGCTATGTGCGTGGATAAAGAAGTGCACATATCCAGGTTTTGCCACCGAGTTCTGACGTGTCACAACGTCGCGTCTGCGAACCAATGAGACGCTCACAGAATCCAGAGCCCAGCTCTCCACGTTTGCTTTCCTTTGGTCCGCGCCTGTGAGCTTGGACCAACCTGGTGCTTGGATGCCGAAATCCAACCTTGATAATCCACACCACTGCCGAGTCGCGAGTCTAGAAGGTAATACATTTTATTCGTTACCGGTCACAATGGTGAGTGCTGCATACAAATCTCGAGTATTCCAAACGTTTGCATTTTGCTTTATCTCTCTAGTGCAGTCTCACAATGAGCTAAACTTTCGCACAACACGGACACTTTTCCATGGGTGTCTACCAAAACATTTTCCAGTTGCAACCAGCGGATTTCCATTGGCACAAACCAACACCTCCCAAACAAATGAAAATAAGAGGCAATTGACGGCCTCTTCTTTTCATTTGGCTGCATCATAACTGATAAAACCGGCTCGAATTGCGCGAAATTGCACTCAACCTTTCACAGTACAAAAAAGCTCACTCACGACACGAACACCTGGTCACTTGGGAACTCAGCACTGAAGCGAAGCAAAATTCAGCCGACTAGCGAAGTTCCGTCGAGGCGAATAAAAGGTGAATTATAGGAACTCTCAGACCAGGCCAGGGCTACAGTGTGCATTCTGTACCTCACCTCATCTCCACAAGCTGCACGTGGTGGTGATCAGCAAAAGTATCAGAAACGAGCTACTGGTGAAAAGAATCCGCGTTGTGTCTGAGCAACGTCGCGCTCTCCTAGCTCTCATTAAGAACGGTAACGCCTCTCTCTAGTGGCTTATAGCCTCCGGTAGAACGTTAAACTCATAATCAGCGACAACATACTCGGCAGGCCGTGGGCTGGCGTCAACGAGCAGCGGCGACTGTTACCCCTGACAAAAACCATTCGCTGCGCTCGTCTCCGGCCGGCTCCAGTGCGAATACCAACCGTCATTTCTGTGAAGACTCTCGCAGTCACTGCAGTAGGGAGCTCGCGGGTATTATCACTTCCACCACTCACGGGCGATCATGAGTCTAGCTGCGCACTGCCCGCCATGTGGACTCGTCAAATGCAGCCCAGCCGCGCGTCGGCTGGGCAACGCCGGACTTCCATTCGCGGCGGTCTCGTCGGTTCCGTCCGTTTCGCGCGTTTCGCTACTCCTGAGTGCTCGTCAAATCGCCCCAGCTGTCAGGCGCGACACGTTCGGAGCCCGCGCAATTGTGACTAAATCCGCAAGGGATGCACGGAGACTGGCGGTCCTGTCAAGACCAGTGCGATTCGCGACCTCAATAACTCATGAGTCGGACCACGTCACTTACAGACACCCGCTTGTGTCCGCGATAAAAGCTCGCGCGGACACTGTGACTATCGACGAGCCTTATAGCGAATCCGCGGACGCAGCGGAGGAGGGCGGAAAGCCACAAGAGGCGGAAAGTTCGGGAATTGCCGGGGAGACGCGCGCGGCGGAAGAAGTCGCGGTGAAGGCGGCGGCGGCGGGCAGCGGCAGTGGCAGTAGCAGCGACAACGACGGAGGCGAGAAGCTGAGCCAAGCGACGCTGATTTGGCGCGCTGTGAAGCTGCCGATCTACAGCGTGGCGCTGATTCCGCTCATGGTGCGTCTGATTGGAAAGAACCTAGAATTGCGCGAGTAGGTTAGTCCGCGTGGAAGGAGAGAGGACAGACTCTGGATAAGGCTTCTTTACTTTTAGCCGATTTCAAATCAAAAGTAATCGTTTACAAATGGGAACTATCCTAAGGCTCTCTCGTCATCTTCTCCCACACATCCCCTCGCGTCGCGTATGTCACTCTCGCCACTCTTGCCACTCACGCCTCCCTGCGTCGCTCTCGCCTCTTGCACTCGTCGCACGCCAGGTGGGGGCGTCAGCGGCATACCTACAGACAGGAGTTTTCCACGCGGGCAGATTCAACTCCTTCCTCCTCTTCTCCGTCCTCGTTATTGCGTGGCTCAATCTAAGGTACAGCACAGTGTCTTCTTCGCGAGTCACTCTACCTGATACTCCACCTGTTCCACATCTTCAATCAACGACACAGGGCGTTTTGAAATGCAATGCACATCTAGCCATGGGGTTTGCTGGTGAAGGCTCATTTCGTTTCCCACTCGCTTCCGTCCTGCCTAATACCTGCCTCCCCTCTCCCTGCTGCCTCTCCCTGTGACAGTAACGATGGATTCGATTCTTTCACTGGCGTGGATAAGACGAAGCCAGAGTCTGTGGTCAACCTGACGGGCAGGTGGGTCAACCTGACCGGCAGGTGGGTCAATCTGACGGGCAGGTGGGTCAACCTGACGGGCAGGTGGGTCAACCTGACGGGCTGGTGGGTCAACCTGACGGGCTGGTGGGTCAACCTGACGGGCAGGTGAGTCAACCTGACCGGCAGATGGGTCAATCTGACGGGCAGGTGGGTCAACCTGACGGGCAGGTGGGTCAACCTGACGGGCTGGTGGGTCAACCTGACGGGCAGGTGGGTCAACCTGACGGGCAGGTGGGTCAACCTGACGGGCAGGTGGGTCAACCTGACGGGCAGGTGGGTCAACCTGACGGGCAGGTGGGTCAACCTGACGGGCAGGTGGGTCAACCTGACGGGCAGGTGGGTCAACCTGACGGGCAGGTGGGTCAACCTGACGGGCAGGTGGGTCAACCTGACGGGCAGGTGGGGCAACCTGACGGGCAGGTAAGTCAGCCTGACGGGCAGGTGGCTCAGCCTGATGGGTGGCTGAAGAACGCATTGGTAGTTGGACCCATGTTCATCATCCATCCAATCACGGCACTGTGCAGCTCAAACGCCTCTCTGGATGAAAGAATGAGGGTGCTGGGCTCTCAAGAAAGACGGAGCAAGAGCATGAGGCAATCTGCAAGTCAAATCAGAACTCACTTCCACCGACACGTATATGATGGATATTAGGATTGAGTGTGGATGAAAGGTGACGGTAGTGTGACTAAGATGAATGGCTTAGAAGAGAGTCGAAGCGTTCCGGCCAAGTATTGAGCGTTGCTATAGACGAAGTAGCCTATGAGCTAGCCCGTAAAAGTTGGGGAACACCGAGGATTGGTAATGATTTATTCAACGAACGAGATAGACTTTGCTTCAGGAGCAACAAGAAGCAAGATTCCCTCCGTGACTCTTCTGCTCTTCTCAACTTCCATTTTATCCTCCCCCTCCCCCTCATTCCGTACCCTCCCCTACCCTTCCCTCTCTCCCTTTCCTCCCCACCTCTCTCCTCCCCTCCTCTCTGCAACTCCCCTCTCCCTCCCCTCTTTCTCCCCGCACCCACCGGTCGCTTCCGAGTGGTGGCAGCAGCTTTCCTCCTCCTGGGGGTGGGCCTCGCAGGGATCTTCTCACTTTCCTTCTGTGCCTCGTTTAATCTCCTCTCTTCCACCTCCCCCCTCCTCTCCCCTCCCCTTCCCCCCCACCTTCAAACCCCCGCACCAGTCGCTTCCGAGTGCTGGCAGCGGCTTTCCTCATGCTGGGGGTGGGCCTCGCAGGGATCTTCTCAGGTGCAGCTGCTGTTGCGGATCCACGTGTTGGATGGCTATTGGCCGCCTCAATTGCCTGTGGCTACGTGTATCAGGTGAGTGAAGGCTATTTGTATCTATTCAGTAAAGTTCTGATTCAGGGAAGGGTTATTTAATCATAATGGAATTGTCGTTCACTCCCTCCTTCCGGCACATACGCGGCGCCTCATGACTGCTCCCAGCAGTCTGACATATTAGCTGATGCAGATTCGGCACGTTTATGATGATTTAAACCTCTTTTTTTCTTCCTTCCCGTGTACTTCCTGCCCTTTTCCCTCCCTTTTTCCCTCCCGACATGCGCCTCTTTTCCCCCTCTCCCTCCCCGCTTTCCTCCCCGTACACTTTTTTTTTCCCCCGCCTCTCCTCCTCTTTTTCCCTCCCGCACACTCCCTTCTTCCCCCTCTCCCCACCTTCATTGCTCATGCCAGTGTCCGCCTTTCCGCCTGAGCTACAGGGGCTTGGGCGAGCCCCTCTGCTTCTTCGCTTTCGGCCCCTCTGCTACCACTGCCTTCTACCTGCACCAGGCCAGGTGAATGCGCAACAGAGCCAGGTGATTGCGCAACAGAGCCAGGTGATTGCGTAACAGAGCCAGGTGAATGTGCAACAGAGCCAGGTGAATGTGCAACAGAGCCAGGTGAATGTGCAACAGAGCCAGGTGAATGCGCAACAGAGCCAGGTGAATCTGCAACAGAGCCAGGTGATTGCGTAACAGAGCCAGGTGAATGTGCAACAGAGCCAGGTGAATGTGCAACAGAGCCAGGTGAATGTGCAACAGAGCCAGGTGAATGTGCAACAGAGCCAGGTGAATGTGCAACAGAGCCAGGTGAATGTGCAACAGAGCCAGGTGAATGGGCAACAGAGCCAGGTGAATACGCATTTGGCATGTGAAAGGCATGGGATTTGAGCCCGGGAGGAACTGTCAATAGCTGCTGGCCAATCAAAACTCGTTATCCACCTGCCACATTAGCTGCGTCCTCTCTTGGTCAAAAGGGCCCCGTGCTCCCCAATCCTGATCCCAAACTCAATTGTGTCCCATCCCATCCTATCCCATCCCACCCCACCCCACCACACCCCACCCCAACCCACCCCACCGCACCGCACCACACCCATCCCATCCCCTAACCTTCCCTCCCCTCTTCTCCTCTCCCATCCCGTCCCCATTCACCGTTTCCCTCTCTACCAGCAACCCGGCGCGCCAGCACCGGTGTCAGCAGCAGTGCTGGCAGCATCGGTGCTGGTGGGCATCACCACCACGCTCATTCTCTTCTGCTCGCACTTCCACCAGGTCAATCACCCTGCACTCACCCACTGGGCCTTGCCTTGCACTGTACCGAGCCTTGCTGTCAGCCATAGAGAGCCGCATTCATTCTGCTCCTTGCTGTCAGCCGTATCTGATTCTCTTCTGCGCACATTTCCACCAGGTCTTACATTGCTGTCACCTTAGATTGGACTAACTGAGCCTTGTCGTCAGCCATACCGAGCATTTCTGCCAGCCATACCGAGCCTTGCTAGCAGCATACTCGTCCTTGATCTCAGCCGTAACTGATTCTCTTCAGCTCGCGATTCCACCGGTCAGTCAGTTATTCCGAGCCTTGCGGGGAGTGGTACCGAGCCTTGCAGTGAGTGGTACCGAGCCTTGCAGTGAGTGGTACCGAGCCTTGCAGTGAGTGGTACCGAGCCTTGCAGTGAGTGGTACCGAGCCTTGCAGTGAGTGGCACCGAGCCTTGCAGTGAGGTACCGAGCCTTGCAGTGAGTGGTACCGAGCCTTGCAGTGAGTGGTACCGAGCCTTGCAGTGAGTGGTGCCGAGCCTTGCAGTGAGTGGTACCGAGCCTTGCAGTGAGTGGTAACCAAGCCTTGCAGTGAGTGGTACCGAGCCTTGCAGTGAGTGGTACCGAGCCTTGCAGTGAGTGGTACCGAGCCTTGCAGTGAGTGGTACCGAGCCTTGCAGTGAGTGGTACCGAGCCTTGCAGTGAGTGGTACCGAGCCTTGCAGTGAGTGGTACCGAGCCTTGCAGTGAGTGGTACCGAGCCTTGCAGTGAGTGGTACCGAGCCTTGCAGTGAGTGGTACCGAGCCTTGCAGTGAGTGGTACCGAGCCTTGCAGTGAGTGGTACCGAGCCTTGCAGTGAGTGGTACCGAGCCTTGCAGTGAGTGGTACCGAGAGCCTTGCAGTGAGTGGTACCGAGCCTTGCAGTGAGTGGTACCGAGCCTTGCAGTGAGTGGTACCGAGCCTTGCAGTGAGTGGTACCGAGCCTTGCAGTGAGTGGTACCGAGCCTTGCAGTGAGTGGTACCGAGCCTTGCAGTGAGTGGTACCGAGCCTTGCAGTGAGTGGTACCGAGCCTTGCAGTGAGTGGTACCGAGCCTTGCAGTGAGTGGTACCGAGCCTTGCAGTGAGTGGTACCGAGCCTTGCAGTGAGTGGTACCGAGCCTTGCAGTGAGTGGTACCGAGCCTTGCAGTGAGTGGTACCGAGCCTTGCAGTGAGTGGTACCGAGCCTTGCAGTGAGTGGTAACCAAGCCTTGCCATCAACTGTACCAGCCTGATTTCACTGCATTCCGAGCCATCCCTCCCTCCCTCTCCACACCACACCTGCCCTTCACGCCACTCCATGTTTCTCTCCTCTCGTCCCCAACAAGTCTCAACCCTTCTCTTCCCGTCCCCCAACTTCTCTCCCTTACTTCCCAACCTTCCCTCACCACAACCACCTCCCGTAGATCGACGGAGACAGAGCCAAGGGCAAGCTCTCCCCGCTAGTGCGCCTCGGCACAGCCACCGGGTGTGAAGTGGTGCGAGTGTCTGTGCTCGCACTCTACATCTTCTCCGCTGCCTTCGTTGCCACGGGGGTTCTCCCATGGACCTGCTTGCTTGCTGCAGCCGCCACGCTCCCCATTGGTCGCATCGTGGTCAACTTTGTCTCGTCGCATCATCAGGTTCGTCCGGCTGCCTAATGTTCCGGTTCCGGAAGCTCGTGCTCTCACGATATGAGGCCCGTGCTCTCACGATACAGTATGAGGCCCTTGCTCTTGCCGGCTGCTACTGTGGACTCTGTCGTTTGCCTTCGATCCGCCCTCGTATTTCATCATTTTTTCTTTCCTTCTTTTGGTTTCTCCTTTTTGCCACCACCTGTCCGAATTTCTCACCTGAACCCTGCCCTTCACTTCGTATTTCATTATACCCAGCCCTTGCTTTTGTTGTCCGTGTGTCTGTTCGTACGGTATGCCTTTCAGGATAATGACACCATATTCATGGCAAAGTATTTCTGTGTTCGCCTCCACATCGCCCTAGGATTAGCTCTTACAGCATCCCTCTCCCTAGCACGTAGATTCGCGTTGCGTATGTAAGCCATATACACTATATATGTCGCGCTGTAACAATTACTAGAGCAGAGATAGCCGTAACAGTAGATAGAATGCAGACATACCCTGTTTGCGGATACTTCTGCCATAACAGACAGTTTGAGGGAGGAGGGGTGGGCACAAAATTGTTGCATATTGACTCTCAGGTGGTTGGCCAGGATATGGGGGAATCTGGCAAGAAAAACTTCTCCCCCCTGATATCCGGGGAAATTTGGTAAGGAAGAGTTCCCCCTAATATCCTGTGGGTTTAGGGGGTTAGGGTGGTACATCATTTTCATTCTTGTTTGTTATGTATGTTTGGAATACATGCTCAGTCATAATGACATTTTATTCCTGATTTTGTAATCTCTATCTCCCTATGAGAACCTACTCGACTGCCAACACCATACATAGCCCTATAAAGTATTTTCCTACTGTCCACTACACTTTATTATCTAACATAAGAAAAGCATATCGTTTATATGGTCAGTAAAACCCGGAGGGTTTTGAGGAAGTCTTGCACCGACTTTAGAGACCTCACCATTGACAGGTGCGGGCCTCCAGGTAATGGCGGGGACGTGTAGAGCGAGACGCAGAAGTGTTACGGACGAATGGGTAGAACAGCGAAAACGGGAATTTGTCGACGCTGAAATGGAGGCGACGTGAAGCGGGACAGATGACAGATGAGGAAAACGCTGCGCACATCATGCCCACAGAGCAGATGGGCTTTTCTGTGGCCGGTGGTGATGAGCGAAGATGAGGGCAGATGAACATTCGATCCGTGTTGAATTGCTAGCTGGTCCCCTCCGCATCAGCCGGTGATGCGGAGAGCGTGTACTGACGTGAAACTTAATGTTGCTGGTTTGTTTGACGGAATGAAGCGCGAATTTGCAAGGAATTAATTGTTCGTCATTCGTCAGTTCGTGTTGTGCAGCACCTTAGTACGGCTTGTAACCATCAAGCGTCTTCTCATTCTCGCTGCCGTCCCTGTAGTAGCTCTTGAACCACCGCACGAACTTCTCCAATCCCGCATCTAAATCGGTGGTGGGTTGATAACTGCCGGCAGGGAAAACAGGGAGAACGGTGTTCTGTTAGGAAAGAGCAGGATAATGAAAAATTACCTACCAGTCAAACAAGAGCTCAAGCTATCAAACTGAATAATCAAGTCCAGCAACTTACCCAAGGTCGTTGTGGGCTCTTGTGACGTTGGCGTGCGTGAACATGACGTCACCAGTGCTGGGCATTTGGATGTAGCTGCACAGAACGTCGAAGGAAGCCAAAGTCAGGAAATGAAAATACCTCGAGACAGTAAATCAGCAGGCGAGCAATAACTGGGAAATCTAAATTACATCGCGGGGTAGGTATCGTAACCAGCACGAAGGGCCAAAATCGCGACGCTGGAAGCAAACGGATGCGCAACGTACTTGCGGATGGCCTGCCTTTGGAGGTGCTTCTCGAGAATACCAACGAACTCGCCGACCTTCACGGGCTGCGTGTTCCCCAGATTGAACACGCGCATCGGCGCCTTGCGCTTCTTCTTCCCGCCGCTGCCCGTGCTCGGCGCAGCCGTGTCCAGCGAAGCCACGCACCCGCGCACCACGTCATCAATATACGTAAAGTCCCGCGCAAGCTCCTCCTTCTTGGGGCCCTGGAAAATCTTAATCGGCTTGCCCCTGACGATATTCCGCGCGAAGGAAAAGTAGGCCATGTCGGGGCGGCCCCAGGGACCGTACACCGTGAAGAACCGCAGCGCGGTGATAGAAAGCCCGTAGATGTGATTGTAAGTATGACCCAACACCTCGTCCGCCTTCTTCGTCGCGGCGTACAGGCTCGCCGGCCGGTCCGTGCGATCGTCCTCGGAGAAAGGGACCTTGCTGTTGAGCCCGTACACGCTCGATGACGACGCGTAGACCACCGCGGGTTGCGGGTTCGCGGCCTTGCACTCCTCGAGCAGCGTCACGAAGCCTTGCACGTTAGAGTGCACGTACGCGAGCGGGTTGACGACGGCGTACCGCACGCCGGCCTGCGCGGCGAGGTGCAGCACGTGCGTGAACTTGACGAGCTGGAAGAGGCGCGCCAGGATGGCTTGGTTGGTGATGTCGCCGTCCACGATGAAACTGCGCAGCGCGCGGAAGCGTGGAGAGAAATTTGACGAGACAGCAGACATTCCGTTAGCGAGACAGAGCGATAAGGATCAGGAAAAGCAGTCGAGGAAAAGAGGGGAAAGCAGGCAAGAATACGAGTTACGGTGGATCGGCAACGAGGGCGGTATCTAAAGACGGACGTGCCAGAGACAGCAGAGAGCAGTGCGGGCGGATGCAAGGCAGTGTCAAAGAGGAGTAACCAGCATGGCGGGCGGCACGGGAGTTAGTGTGCTTACATTCCCTTCTCAGCGAGACGGCCCTGCCTCGCCCTCTTGAGCGCGACAGGGTAGTAGCTGTTAAAGTTGTCAATTCCAACCACGCCGTCGCCTCGCCTCTTAAGCGCCAGCGACACGTGCGAGCCCACGAACCCCGCTGCGCCTGTGACGAAAACGACGAGGCCCGCCGCCTCCTGAGGTTTGCTCGAGGCCAGTACTTGATGCTCCCATACGGCGTCACCCCACGGGGCCTCTCCCGTGTTCGCGCCCGATTGGCCTAGCAATGGTGACGTGGAGCGGTACAGCAACCCTATGAATCTGCACCACGAGACAACGAACGGAAGGTAGGGGAAAGGCGTAACGGTATAAGAACGCAAGCGTTCTGGCTGGGCCGCTAAGTGGACGGATAGCCCGAGAGGGCGCAGGAAACTGAAATCAAATACAAGAGAAACGGGAAATATGCATGGTATTGAATTGCCAGATAGCTATGGCAGCCTATTCATACCACGCCCCTGTATATCTTGATGATGCACGCAACCACCAAATTTCGGCTGGTGTGTTAAGAGCTCTGCGGAGCTCCGTTGCGTGCAAGGGAACTCACGTCACGACGACGAAAACCGTGAGGCAAGTTAATTGCGGTCCGCTTAGACTCCGCGCTGATCGTTGCACAAACGAGTTGGACCTGAGCTTCTCGTTGCTCTCGCTCTCCACGTCAATGGGCTTCCCTGGACCCGACGGCGATACTAGTTTCATTGGCGGAGCCATGTTTGGCGGCATGTTGCTTTCGCGCTCCGCCTTACAAGATACTTAAGGCGACAAGGTTCGCAGACGATCTAAGGCGAGCTAGCTGGCTGATAGGATGGCAATGAGCTCTGCAGTAGAGAGAGCGCAATAGAGCAATCCCTAAGCCGAATGAAAACTGGGAATAGCTAGTTATCTAGCCGTGCTTGGTACCCATACAACCGGTTACGTTCTATGTGCGTGTGCCCCAAAAAGTAGCAATTGGCTCGCGGTCGCGACCCGTTGCTTCCTTGCATGACCAATTCAGCGTTTGCCGTTGAAAACGCTTTGGCTGGATCCCCTCGTCAGTTGGGACATCTGACATGCGACCCTCCCGTGCGGGCAAAAGGAAATCCCTGTCGAGCGCATGGCGGGGAAGCTGACGTCTTGGTTTGAACGGACCGTATCGCATTTGACGGAGAACCATTCGATGGTTCGGCAATCCCGCGGCTCGGCATGTGTGCATGTGACAAACGGCAAACGTGACCCGCGAGGACGACACGCGGTCACTTCTGTTTTGTCAAACCCGTTGCGCGCGGAGCGAAAGTGACGGGGGGAACGTTTTCCATGCGTGGCGTCTGGTTCGCGCCTACGACATTTTGGTTGGAAGAGGGGCGCCCGCACGTTGGGACAAGGGTAACCTTCGCCATACCTCTCGGTCTCGCAGATTCGAGGTGAGTGCAATGTTCCCGAACCTGTTCGTGTGTTTGCTGTGTCGGACCACTGTTGAGAAAGCGGAGCGCCCTTAAAGGACCCTAACGGTCCATTCACCCAAGCTAAAAGCAGGTGTAGAAAGTGTGTCACTGTGAGAAGTAGAATGGTAAACTGCAAGGAAAATTCCTTTTCCTTACTTCGCATCCCTGCTCAACGCGTACATCACTGTAGCACCACAGTCAGCACCGTTACCACTCGCAACCCTCGCATCGACAATCCGCCAGCCACCTTCGCACATCGCACCCCGACCTCAAGGCTCGGCGGGTAACCCGCGCTCCGGGCCTCCGCTTCGACACTTATTCCCAACCTCAGTCCCGGGGCCGTCGCGCGACAATCACAGTTCGTTACCGTTACCACTGTAGTTTCGCTATATATTCTTCGCTCATGCCTTCGCTCATTGGACTCTTGCTTCGATAGTGCAATTCTCGTTCGTTCACTCAATTGCACTCGTAACACTTGATATTCAGAGCCTAGGATCTCCCCTAGGACCGCACCCACACCTTCGCTTCCATACTATCTCAATTGCTGGGGGGGTAGACGTCTCTCAGCAACACGGCACCGCCGCTCGTAGTGCTCTCTCGTAAGCACGCACGGCCACGACGAAGGCTCTCGCCGAGCTCGCTCGACACCCCTGCCATGGCCGAATTCACGCTCGCCACATTGACGCAGGAGCAGCTCGACCGTCTGGTGCGCCAACTTGAAGATTCGGCGCTCGAAATCGCGACGCTCACGGCGGAACGCGACTCCGCGCGTCAGCAATCAACGATGAACACTCCAGCGCCACCACACGCACCGACAAATGCATCTGCACAATCAGACGAGCCGATCGTCATCTCGTCCGGCACACCAACACAAAATAACAGCGTGGGACAGCGCTCCGGCGCAGCCAGCGATGACGTCGCCCAGCCGATGCCTGACATGGGAGGAAACAGGGTCGCACCGAGCCCGCGGGAGCCTCGCGAAGCCCGTCGGCACGTGGAGTTCGCGACGACAAGTGGCGAACATGCCATTATGGCACCAATGCCACTCAACCCGCTGTTGGGAACAAACAGTCCTAAGCGCCTCTGTCGTGTCGAAACACCAAGACACAAGCGAAGCAGCGCATATCGAAACACCAGCGAGTCAACCCTCGGAGGTTGATGTAACCGCTGGAGGTTACGCGAAAGTCAAAGGTCAGCGACCTTTGACCTGACAAATGCAGCGCGACAGCAAGAACACACAACTGACTTGACATTGAGCAGTTGCCTGAGTCGCACTGTATCAAACCGCAACAGTAAAGTAGTTATAATTATGTCTCTTCATATTCTCTGTATTCATATATATATTCTTGTATCTCTTTGCTTTAATCAACTTACTTTGCCCTCACATACTAGCGCAAGCTGGTTCAAAGACTTTACTCCAAACGCTTCCGCTACTTCATCACTTTACTCAGACTTTAACTCTACCAAAGATCCTAAAGGGCACTCAGCCCAACATGGTATGAGAGCAGGTTAGAGTTAAATTATTTCTCCTCAATACTTAATACACCAAGAAGATATGTCTACTAGAAAGGAGAGGAGCTCCTCCAACGGCTCTCCCGGTACTACTCCTACTCCACCTCCTGCCTCTGGCCTACAGACAGAGGAAGGGACAACAACGAGACCGGCAGCTGGGTCTACTGAAACACCTGCAAACCAAGGCGTGGGCTTCGATCCAAGCATGATGGAGAAATTCTTCTCCTTCATGTCCTTCTACGAGCAGCATCAACAAGGAGGACCTGCGCAATCACACAACAGCAACAACAACGGAGCAACACCCATGAGTCTCGACGGCTCATCATATGCACGGGGAAACCAGCAACAACAACCTACCTTTGCTCCGTACAAGCGCGGATCCATCAGCTTCATGCCACAACCACAGCCCTCACCTGGACAAGAAAAACAATTGGACGCACTGCAAGTTCAGTCGTAGTTCGCACATGTTCTGAAGATGCAGACGTTAAGACCTTTCGACGGAAAGGATTTCTTCACCTAGTCGTTCGAGTTTGAACTGATGATGGAAGGCGCGCACATACTTGGGTTCTTCGACGGGACCCTGCCATATCCAACAAACGGCACACAATACGAGAAGCAGCAGTACACCTATCAGTCAATGATGGCATACACGATCCTACTGAGAAACATCACCCCGACTCAACAGCAGAACATAAGGACCTACCGAGGTTACGGTAACTCCGCGGAGCTCGCATACAACCACCTGAAGAGCCTGTATCAAGCAACAGACAGTGTAAGTCAAAGTCGGTTAATGGCGCAACTGACAACAGTTGAAATGAAACCAGGGGAGAAAGGACTGGCGTATATCAGTCGATGTCACGAGTTGCGCGACAAGCTTCTTCGATGCAGAGGGTCGATCTCTGAAGACGCCTTCGTGACAGTCATCATCGGAAGCCTCGGTCCTCAATGGCGCGCCACAAAAGCCATCCTCCGAGCTCACGGAAGAATCTCCGAAGCAGCACTCTGCGCCGAAATCCATGCCGAGCAGCAAGACATGGACCTGCAAGAAGAATGACATAAAAAGAAGACGTCAGCACCAGAGTTCGCGTTCCACACCCAGCGACGCTACAACAACAACAACAATCGGCAGCAACAACTGAAGCCAGTACCTCCGTTCTGCCACATCTGCAAAACTTCAGGACACCCCCGCACGCACTGCCGGAATCGTCAACAATCGACAACACCACAGCGACAACTTCGGCCTTCAAGCACCCAAGTCACTTCAACGCAAACAAATCCCACGCCAAAAATTCAAGCTTCAACGACTTCAACAGGACAACCTGCACAAGGAGCAAGAAACATCGTCAACTGCATGGCAAAGATAACAGACTCCTGCATCACCGAGTCACCACCGTACTATTCACCAGAAGAACGACTCGACGAAACCACACCCCGCTGCGAGTCACTTCAGCCGAACCCGACATACGCCGCCATCGCCCAAAGCGAGCCATCCGGAAAGAACACTTGGTTCTTAGACAGCTGCTGCGGACAGCACATGTGTTCCTCAGGACGCTTCGTTCAACGAGAACACCAGCTTCAACGTGAAGTAGTCATCATAGTCGCCAACAATCAAAACCTGCGAACAAGACGACAAGGCATAGTTCACCTTCACTCAAGGGAAACAAACGTCGTACTACAGATGTCAAAGGTTCTAATCGCGGAGGGACTCGGCTACAACTCACTGAGCGTCAGCCAGCTGATGTCGAAGAGTATTCATCTTGAAGCAGACAGTACCACTCAAGAATTCAAGCTGTACCACGGGAGATGAGGACTCTACATCGGTAGGGCAATCCTCAAAAACAACGTCTTCGTTCTTGACTTCGTCCCCGATCTTGGCACTGCCGACAACGACGCCATCGTGAACTTCACCGACTGGACACATCCTCCGGACCTTGATCTAGACTTCAGTCCGGAAGGTTTCTGGTATTCACATACCATTCCTGAAGCAGAACGAACACGTGCGTTAGTAACAATAAAACATTCGGCAGCAGCAGAGACAACATCAGCAGCACCAGAGACAACATCGACAGCAACATAAACATCATCGGCAGCAGCAGAGACAATATCAGCAGAACCCGAAACATCGTCGGCAGCGGCAGGAACAACGACACCAGTCCTCGTTGACGAAGCACCACCAACACCCGCATAGCAGCTGAATCCGACACAACGGGAAGTCCACTGAAGCGCAAACTTCATCGCCAGCTTCTACTCCAACTCCGACGCGTATCGACGCTCACCCGGACACCGCGCCTCCGAAGATATCTGGCACGCACGCATGGGACACCCAAGCAA